AGTAGCATTGTTTTTCTTCCCCATAACCATTGTTGTTAAGTGCCATCGAGTCAGTTCCAACTCATAGCGACCCAGTGTAGGGTTTTCAAGGAGCGGTTGGTGAGCTTGAACTGCCGACCCTGTGGTCCAAACCGACCTTGCACCCCAGAACATTAACTCACAGCCATCACTAAAACAAAACTTCAGCAACTTACTCGGTGGCAATCTGGTTTCACCTATAACCCTTCCCAGTCTCTTCCCCCTCCCTCCTTCCCAAACGCCAGTAGTGGATTCTGATGGCAAATGCCCACCCAGGGTGATTTGGAAGCAAATCCAAGTCTTCTCCCTCTCTTTGTGACTTCCGCACCCCCCCCCCCCCCCACCCACCCCCGCCTAGATCTGGGAATGTATTAGATTAGCCCTGGATTTGCCTGATAGTGCACTTTTTAATAACTGGAAGTGTAAGCACTCTAGGAGTACTGATATGGCATTGTAGGATAAGCACTGGACTGCTAACAAGTTGGCACCAGCCACTCCTCAGAAACACTACTGACTCATTGGCACTTAACAACAGCAACAAAGCCCTCTAAGTTTGAGTAAACTTTGTCACGGGACTTCAAAAAAATTCATGAAAAATTCTCACTACTTTTAGTTCCATTTTTCTGCAGATATTTGAAGCCCCATCATTTAGGAGAACAGTAATGGTCAGCTTTCTCAGAGCGGTAGGAATACCACCTGTTGAGAAGGAGAGAATACATTTCTGGGCAGTTGATTCAAAGTTTGGTGAGTAACGAATAGCTATTGTATTGCCAGACTCATGTTGAACACCTAAAGGCTTCCTTGCAGTCCTCCTCCCCACCCCCCACCCGTTCCTAAGGAGAAAAAATGTTTTACCCCAAAAAGAGGGCTATTTTTAGGGATGTGACTTTGGTAACCACCTCAGGTAAAAATCTGAGTGCTGAGTATGCCTTTCAGTTCTGGACTTCTACTGAAAGATGAACCGCATAATAGAACCAGCAGTTTGTGGAAAAAACCTGGTAAAAATACTCTTGAGAGTGGGAGGCTGGCTGTAGGATTGTATGTAAAAACCACACTGAGTTCTGATTGGGCCATAGCTCTGAAGATTGGGGTCATCTGGCTAATGAGGTGCTGATGAGTTTCAACAAGTGCACAAAAATGTCAAGCAGATGTGTGACACACAGCCCTGGTTGACATTGATTATTAGATAGCACTTCACAGAACGCATGTCCAGATGTACTAACCCACTGAATCCTCACACAACTCTGTGAATTGCAGAGCTGTTGCCAGTTGCCATGGATCCCCATTCTGACTCCTGGTGACCCTCCTCGAGTCAGTCCAACTGTGCTCCACAGGGTTTTCAATGGCTGCTTTTTTGAAATTATAGACTGCCAAGGTGTTCTTCCAAGCAGCCCTTGGGTGGACTTGAACCTCCAACTTTTGGGTTAGCAGCTGATCATGTTAAATGTAAGTGAGACGCGGCCCCACTTTACTCTTGATCAGAGATCCAGAAATGAAGTAATTTGCTTGAAATCACCTAACTAATGATGCAACATCCAGCACTGCTATGGTCTGATTCCGCAGGTGCTCCAATGTCTATGGCTGATTGAAGGGCAATTCATGAAGGGATAGTTAGCACCTGGGAAGGGGTCAGAATTGAAATCACCTATGTGACTTATGCTAATTATGCACCAACAGTACAATGAATCCTGTTAGATTCCAGTGAGATAAAGGTCAAAACGATCCGTAGTTGTGGAAAAGCAATAGATTCAACAGATACCTTCAAGCTTTTGTTTGAACTCTGAAATTATTCTGGCACGGGGCAATAGGAATGGTAGAAAAGTAGACTATAAATCAGTTACACACAGAAATGAAAGATAACATAGTGCTGGCTGCAAAGATGCTTTGTTTGGAAATGTCAGCATTCCAGTCATTATAAAGATTCTAATTGTAATTTATGATCTTAATTTGTGATGTGCTTTCGGAAAAAAAGATGGGCAGTTTTAGCTCCCAAGAAGCATCATTTAATGGTATTTGGCCATAAACCACCTGTGAAGGGCTCAGCACTTACGCACTGTAACTCAGCAGGGGGGCCCTTATGTCACACTGTTGATGTAAAATGATGGCAGCTTTAAGTTCAAATGTTACCCAGCTACAGAATAACTTACCTTTATCATCCTTTGCTGTCTGTGCAGACGATGGCAATAGCAAAGCAGGGAGATTTGTTTAGGAAATCTGTGGCTATGCAGATCTTCATGGCAGAAGTACCACCTGACCAGAGCATCATGGTACAAACTCCCAAGCATGTGGGGGTGCTGTCTTAAGGCTCCTGGTCTACAGACAGGTGCACCTAAAGGCTAGCAATCCATTCTCCTGGAGTCCACTGCTCTGCTCGTTCCTTAGTAAAAGACAGTCATGGTCTACGCAAGGTAGCTGGAGGATTCTGAGTTAATTGAGAAGATAGAAAATACTTGTGAATTACAACTCTAAGCTTTAACAGAGTCCCTGAAGCCAAAGTGTATCTTCTGCCCCTTAAGGGCTCATTTCTTCCCAAATGGTTATGTGTACCGCAGCTCTCCAGGCTGAGTGAAACTAGACTAAGGTCAAAATGTAATACACAACAGTGAGAACCTGCAGTGTTGTTGTTGTTAAGTGCCGTCGAGTCAGTTCAGACCCATAGCGATCCTATATAGGGTTTCCAAAGAACAGCTGGTAAGCATGAACTGCCGACCTTGCAGTTCAAACTGCTTTGCCGTCTGGCGCATTAATTAACCCACAGTGCCAGTTTTTACTTTTTTTGGATAAAGTACAGAACAGTGTCATTTTATGTAAGTTGACGACTGGCCTTACTGAGCTTGGCTGCTTGTTTTTATAGGGGTCTGAGGACCCCCAGTCTTAGTTATCAAACACCAACTGTGTTATATAACAGAAGGCAACAAAAAGATAAAATGAGCTCAAAGGAACTAAAAATGGGGGAGTAAAGGAACCTTCTCAACAGCCTGCAGCAAGGTTGGGGCTTTGAGGGCATGGGCCCAGGGTCTGGCCCTCTGAGTTTGCATCATTGCTCTAACAGTCCTGATGTGACCCTGTAGGATAAGCATTTGGATTGCCAACCATAAGGTCAGTGGTTCAAACCATAAACTGCTCCTTGGAAACCCTATACAGGGTTACTGTGAGTCAGAAGTGACTTGATGGTATTTAATAACATATACCCTTGGGTACTACTTTGTGCTTCATCTGTGAAATGGGGATAATAGGAATCACTTCATACGGTTGTGATGAGGAACTGTGTCCAGAACACAGGGAACACTCATTGAACTTTGGCTACAAGTAGCCCCAAAGGGCATAAACCTTGTGTTACGTGACTGTTATTTCCCGTGCTGGGCACCCATGATTATACATGCTTGAGATATGCTTACTGGTGGGGCAAGTGGAAGGAAGACATTGGTGAAGAGAAAAACTAAACGTTTCTGGTAGAGAACACTGCCTGACGATGATTGGGTGGTACATTGTTTTCAGTAAATTATTTCTAATGTGTGAAGTCAGGAACCAGTTTGAGATTCTGGCGTCTTAGGGAAATTTCACTAATTAAAACATATCCTTTCAATCAACAAAAATGTGATGGTAGAAAAAAAAAAAAAACCACACAAGTAATAATTGGGTTAGATTTGTCTCTGCAGTTTTTCCCATTAGGCATTGCATGTTTAGTAAATGCTGGGCAATTACTGTCAGAAGGGTGTCAGAGTCCGGCCTACGAAGCACACATACACAGAGGCTTGTCATAATACTTTTTTATTACAATATCCAAAAAACTGGGTATGCAAGTTTAGGGGACATTTCAAGACCCCTTCTTCAATCTTAGGAATGTGCCATCTCAAAACGTGTATTGAAACTATAAAGAAATTTAAATGTAAAGAAAAAAAAGAAAATGCATTTTCTTTATAAACATTCTGTGTTGTCTCTCACTACCAATCACATATTCTCTGTAAACCCTGAAAATTTTCCCTGTAAAGCAAATTATATATGTACATACACACACACACACATATATATAGTGTGTATATATGTATATATTTATATGTATATAAAGTGTTGGTAGCTCCCCTTCCCCAAAGATCAGCTGGTTTTCCATAATCATCTCCATTAGTGTCAAGAAACAGCTACCGGTACATTACTTTGAGAATTAAATACATAATTGTAAAATTCAAGCAAGCAGAAGGGTAAGAGGAGAAAAGCAGTGAATAGATGGCACATTTCAGGGGTACACTACCAAAACATTCTATCTTTATGAGTCACTAGTTCTCTCTTTTGCAGACTGAGTTTCAAGGATATCCGTTCTTTATTGCAATCACAGTCCACAATGCACCAGACAGATTTCCGTCTTGATAGCCTGTCTTACTTGGTAGTTTAGTGCTGTCACCAAAAATGATCACGCTGTAGAGTCTGAGAAGCAACCTAAGAGTAGAGAGCAGAGGAAGGAATGTTTCTGGGATCTAAGAACTCCTCAGGTGCTCCCTAGGAAGCCAGAGTCCCAGAATTCCCGGCCACAGCCTCTTGGGTGTACTCTAGTTCACTTATTGAACTGTGGCTTCAGCGCGTACACGCGGTGCCCAATGTCTTTTTAACGAGGGGTTCTATTAGCATGAACAATTTGAGCAGACTATCACGGTTTCCAAAGGAAGAACAATAAAGCAACCTTCCATTTCCAAATTCTAGAAACGTAGCAGGAGGAGAGCTGGACTTGAATTGAATGCTAGGGATGGCTGCTTATGGTTTAAACTTAATGCAAAGAGAACACAACCAAAACCGAATCAAAAGATAAAGTAGCAAAAGAACCCAATAAAGGATGAGCCCCGAGACAGAGCACAGCACACAGCTCTCTGCAGGAGGGGCCTGCAGCTTCAGACTTGTCAGGTAGATGAGCCCCACTCTGTGAAAGGGAGTGCTGGACCTAAGGCCTGTAGTTGGAAGAGCATGGTGGGGAGGGGAGTCCGCCTCAACTGTCACTGAAGTGCTTTGACAAGATATAACTTTTCCCCATGTTCGCTGGTGAAGATGGGTGCCTTTTTGTAGTGTTCCACCAACTCATCCATGGTATGAAACCGCCGTTGCCCGATACAGTAGACATTGTCCACGAGCTGCACCTTGAAATGCTTGTTCTTCCCTGATGCTTTGAGAGAGACGGAGAAGTCACTGGGCTGGGGAGGAAGCAAAACACAACATTTTATGACCTGCTCACAAGTATGGCAAGCCACCTATAAACTTAAAGACTAAACTAAGAAGAACGGGAGTTCTTTACTCTGTGAGCTTTAACTTCTTGACTCTTACATATTGGGGGTACCACAGGGTGATAGTTAAGGCTGTGTGTCAACTTGACTGGGCCAGGATCCTCAGTGGCTTGCCGGTTGAGGATGTAGTTATCCCCCCCACGATGAGATCTAATATATTGGAGCCAACTCTATGATGAAGTCCGCTATGAGCAGCCAATCAACTGAAGGGAGGCTGCCTTGGGGGTGTGGCCTACTTCTAATATATTGTACGTTCAGGCAAGGTTTGCTGGCTCTCTGCTGGGTCTGGATCTTGCATCTAGTTGTCTTGTGGCCTCCAGCTCTTTGGACTTGAGCTAGTGGCCTGTTCTGTTACCTGCGATCCTGGGAGTTGTCAGCAGCTTGCCTTCTGACCTGCTGATCCTGGTTCCTCCTCTCTGAAGCTATGTGAGCCAGAAGCTTCCAGGCTGACATCTGACCCCCAGCCTTGGGAACTGCCCACCTCTATAACTGTGAGAGATATTTCCTCAACATAAACCTCTCTTTATATAGCTATGGAAAGTGTTTGCTGTATAGGATAAGCTGTATAGGATAACCACAAGGTCAGTGGTTCAAACCCTTTAGCTGCTCCATAGGAAAAAGATGAGCTTTCTGCTCCTGTAAAAATTTACAGCTTCAGAAGCCTATACAGGGTCGCTATGAAGTGGTATAGATTCAATGACACTTAACTACAACATGTATGTAATTTTCACTGGTTTTGCTTCTCTGGAGAACCCAGTTTAACTCTGAATTTTCCACTTGTACAAATCCAAACCCTGCAGCACCGTGAGTCAGGTCTCTGTATTAACACTGAGGAAGGCCCAAAGGCACTCCATGGTTCAGATGTTCTGAACCAAAGAAAAATTCAATTTTGATCAGTACCGTTTGGATGCTGAATGAACTTACTTGAAAAGTGGGAACTCACCATGTGACGTTTTCCTTTCCCAAACTATTTTGGATAAGCTGGGAACTTACTGAAAATGATTTGCTGTTGTTTATGTGACATTGAGTCAATTTCAACTCATAGCAACCCTGTTTAGGTTGCCCAAGGAGTAGCTGGTGGGTTTGAACTTTGCAATTAGCAGTTGTGTTTATCCTACAGTGTCACAGAACCGAAAATCATTTTGTCCCTTAGAAATGAATCATCACAGAACCCTGTTGTCATCCATTGATGATCATAGGAACCAATCCCACCCACATAACGTTCTACACAGGATTCATAACATTCTAACCAGGATTCTCAGTGGCCTGGCCATTTCCCATTATGACCCCTAATATAATCAACTCTAATTCTATTCTCGGACTCCTGGTGGGGCGCTGGACCAGGAGGCTGAGGTTCAAGTTCACCAGCTGCTTCTTGGAAACCGAATACATAGTCACTATGAGTCAGAACGGATTCTACTGCACTTAACTATGTTATCTAATGCAATCAACTCTACAATGAGATCTGCTATGAGCAGCCAATCAACTGAAGGGACATTTCCTACAGGGTGTGGCCTCTTCTCTACATATTCAAGTAATCATCTGACAGTACAATTCTCAAATCATTACTGTTTTCCTGGAATTTAATACAACTTCCCAGCAGCCTCAGTATTACCTTCCCCAAATTAAGTGCTGAATGTGGCTCTGAATAGAAAACAGACGAAAACAGGCAGTGCTGGCAGTTATTCCACCACCTTGGTCCCTGTCCCTATTATTAGTCCTAGTGGATTAAGGAGAACCACCATTGTCATTGACACTGCATCAGTGTAGCAACAGGAGATACAGCTAAGAACGGCTGAACTCTCTTCGGATGCCTTCCGGTTTCCCCAAAGTAATTTTTTAGTTTCAGGTTCCTCACTATTAATATTCTATATGCATGTATTCCGTAAACACACACACACATTTTTCTTCTTTTGTTTTCGATGCCATTAAGTGGCACCTTTAGGAAAAGATGGAGGGGCATTTCATATTAAAGTTTATCATGAGCCAGGCACCATGCAAGTTTTGTAGATACACGCAGTTTCCTGGGAGTAAGAACGAGATCTGTCCACAGCTCGATCTTAAGAATTTGTAGGTGAGATGGAACAGGTGCACTACAGTTCTTAGTTTTATTTAGCCTTACTTTTGTGAAAGAAAAGGCTCGGAGTCTTTGCAATGATTTAAAAGCTGCACGTGCAGCAAGTGAAGGCAATTGTGAGCAGGGGCTGGTGCAGTCATTTTAAAGTGAGGGCAAATTTACAAAACATTAAAGGACAAAGATGCAGACGTTCTGTTGGTAACCTGGGGAACTGCCTATACTTTTACCAACTCAGACATAAAGTGGCATCGCCGTTAGTGGAGGCAGTGTGTGGATGAAACCTATTGAATATGATGAACCCAATTTTAATTAAGCCAATGATCAGCAGATGATTCTTCAAACAGCCAAGTCTGCTTTTTATTTAAAGTCTTTATCATCATGGTGTGTGCACATGTACATATGTGTGTGCTACAGCACAGTAAAACTGAGGCAACAGAAGCGACCATTTTTAATTTCATGGACTCCTAAGCACAAATCAGGTAAGAAAATAGTACCAACTTTATTTACGTCCATAGAAATCAAAATGTAGGGTGTTCTTCATTCCACCTGAGTAGATTTTTCACAGTAGATCAGGGAATGAATGATCTACACACCAGACACACTGTTAGGCTACCACTGAACAGCTTTAAATCAAATGCGAGGGTAATCAGAACTGTGGCTCTCAGAGCACTCTCCCACAAACAGCAGCATTCGCATCACCCAAGGACTCGTTATCAATGCAGATCCTCAGTTCTCATCCCAGAACTACGGAATCACAAGTTTTAGAGCAAGGGTGGAGAACATCGGGCCCATGGGCACAAAATCATTTGGTCTGGCCCTGCAAAGGCAGCCGCAGTTCCAGCCACTTTCTGTTGTTAAGTGCCTTTGAGTCAGTTCCAACTCACAGAGACCCTGTATATGGTTTCTGAGGAGCAACTTGTGGGTTTGAACCGCCGACCTTGAGGCTCAAACTGACCTTGCTGTCCAGTGCATTACTCTGCTGTACCATACCAGGTGAGTTAATGAAATGTTTGACCAAATACAGCTGACTAATTTTTAAGTTGATAATTCTGTATGGCCCTTGAATGATGCCGTAAATTTTGGCAGAAAAGTCTTCCCACTCTTGATCTAGAGGTAGGAGCCAGCAACCTGTTTCAACAGGTCCTCCATACAGTCTGAGAACTGCAGGGAGGACCTGTTGAATATAATTTGAATAAAATAAAACTGGAGTGAACTACCACCAGTATTTTCAAATACTCAGAGCCACCAGAAACAGGAACGAAGGCCAGGTCTGTCCTATGGGCTCAGTAGCCTCATGTTGGGGAAAACTCCACTGTCAGCTTTCCTAAGTCTGCAGACGCCTTCATGATTTGGTTTTAGAGAGAGCCTGGCCCTATTCCTGACATTCCTTAATAGGAATGGCCCGAATGGGGCAGCTGGGGCACAACAAATGAGAAGGCTGTACGGAAGGTCTCTGGTCTTAAGTAAGTCCGTTTTCGGGATCGGATGGAGATGCAGCTACTCTGGGCTCAAAACAACTCAGCCTCCAGGAAAGGAAGTGCAAAGGAAAGGTACCTTGTTTTCTGTAAGAGGCTTGGAGAAATCATCCTGGAAAAGGATCATGCTTCACTCCACCCCCTCAGCAAGCAGTAGTGTAGTATGATGATGATGTTATTGTTGTTGTGAAGTGCCGTTGAGTTGGTTCTCTGACCCTTAGCGACCCTCTAGAGGGTTTCCAAGGAGTGACTGGTGAGCTTGATACAGTATTCTAAATTTAAGCTGTCAAACAGTCTTAGCACATTTTGCTTAAGTATCTATATTGAGAAGGACCAAAATGAACAGCAGCTCAGTCAACATTTATCCTCCACACACATTTTGAGTGTTGGGTGTCACTGATTTGAAGTCAGGAATTTTGTTCTGTCTACACAGCTCTCATTTCTATGGAGGATGGATCATACAAGGTGGTTAGCATGACTGAAGTCTGTCACATCTCCATAGCTCCATTACTGGGCCAGCATTTAAAATGGATTACAGTTCAATGTAAAGAAAACAAAAATCTTCAATGACTGGATCAATAACCAACATCATGATAAAAGGAGAAATGATCGAAGTTTTCAAGGATTTCATTCTACTTGGATCCATAACCAATGCCCACGGAAGCAGCAGTTAAAAAACCACACAACACATTACACTGGGAAAATCTGCGGCAAAATACTGCTCTAAAGTATTAAGGATCAAAGATGTGACTTTGTGTCCACGCTTCGAGGACTAAAGTGTGCCTTGCCCTAGCCATGTTGTCTGTTGCTGTTAGGTGCTATTGACTTGGTACCAACTCACAGCAACCCTATGTATAACAGAATAAAACACTGCCTGGTCCTGGGCCAACGTCATAATCACTGTTATGCCTGAGCCCATCACTTCCTGTCTATCTTGTTGAGGGTCTTCCTCTTTTTCTTCGACCTTCCAATATACCAAACATGAGATCCTTCTTCAGTGACTGGTTCCTCCTGACAATATGTCCAAAGCATGAGAGACAAAATCTGGCCATCCTGGCTTCCAAGGAGCACTCTGGCTGCACTTCTTCCAACACAGATCTGTTGGTTCTTTTGGTGGTCCATGGTACTTTCAATATTTTCCTCTAACACCATAACTCAAATGCACTGAATCTTCTACAGTCTTCTTTATTTACTGTCCAACTTTTGCATGCATATGAGGTTACTGAAAATACCATGGCTTGGATGAACCTTGAGGACACTATGCTGAGTAAACTGGTCAGTCACAAACGGAGAACTACTACATAAGACCATTACAGTAAAGCTTAAGAAAAAATAACCCACACTAAAAGGGAAAAAAG